GCATGCTCCAACAGTTCTTCACACAAACATCATGACTGCAATACTCACCCAGAATAAGAGTAATTTATTATTCCCCATTGAGTGCCCCAAACACTCATCTAGCAATCTATGGCCCTCCCTATGGAGCAATAAATCTTTAATTATTTTATATGATGTGACCTAGTTTCAGTAGGGAACTGGCATCCTATAATATTTTGTATTAGAACTGCTTCAATTTGAACAAAAGATATCTTCATGCAGATTATGTTCCTGATTAAGATTCCAGTAATTATATTTTTAAGGCACCTAACTACCAATGCATTTTAGCACAAAAAATCTCCTGACTTGGTTCACTTTGAGTGAAAATATTCGGTTAAAAACAGATGTAAGGTGACTGGTTTAGGAAGGACAAATATGGATTAAGTTGGAAACACAAAATCTGAGCTCTAGCTATACAAAAACTTACTTTTAGAAATTCAGATACCTACAGATGGTAAGTGGAGACCAGTGCACATCATGCAGATGTTTTATGAATTGCACCTCTGGGTTGAAACAAATCAATGTCTTCATAAATACAGCCCTTACCTGCTGGCCCTATACTAGCATCTACAGTTGGCCACATCAAATACTACCCAGTACTATTAATAGGATCTGCAGGCTGGTGACAGGCACTGGTGACAGCTTTGCAGAAACACCTGTTGTCTAAACTGTGCAGAATTCATCATGGAAGCAGACAAAATAATCAAAGTTCAGCAAAGGCTGCTGTGAAATGTCAATCAGTTGTCAACCTGGTGCTGCTGGGAAAGCACCTACATGAGGAACTCCAGAAAGGAGGCAAGGGATACTAAAGATAACTGCTGAGGCATATTCCCAAAGAAAATATCATCTTGGGAGTAGTTTCCATTCAGCAATATTAGAGGAAATCCCTTGATGGTTGTACAAGGACAGCTCTCATTCTGTCCCTTACAGCATGCCTCAAGTAAGACCACGGTATCAAACCAGTGTAAACCTTAAATAATAATAATGATTTTGCCACTACCTGGCAGAGCTGTGATAATTCAAAGAAGAGAATCAATCTCAGCAGCTAACCATTTACTTTTGTTGTTATGTTTAACCTTTATCACTCCCTAGAACAGTTCATCTTAGAAGTTGAAAAATTCTGGATCCAGCATAAGGAGACTGGCAGAGGAAAAGGCAACTGGGCATGTAAGGAGAATTGGAAAACCTCCTTCAGACCCAGTATGGTTTTGAAAAACACTGGTGAGATTGTAGCCTGATAGCACCCCAAAACCATCCCCAGCTTTTTCTGGGGATGTTTCTGCCTACTGAATATCTGATGTGTTTTTAATGTACTGCAACCCCCTTATATATTTTTTTTAATTTAGTATACATAGTTGAATAGACACAATCGCTTTTTTCCATCTAATAATGTACTAGATAAGCACTCTAATTTAACTGACTATGAAAGTAGACATGTTAGATGTAAAATAAAAAAAACGCTGATTTTTTGCAAACATATGCAAGAACAGTAAATGCTATTATTTTGGATTCAATTCAAGTACTCAAATAAGATACAGCAGTATTTTCTGAAGATTTTTGTTTGATGAAATAATCATAGAACATAGAGAGTTGGAAGGGACCCATGCAATCATCAAGTCCAACTCATGGCTCCACACAGGAAGTAATTAGGAGCATTTAACTCACACCCTGTTCCAAAATGCTACTAACATCTGCATGAACAGCAATGCAACAAATGGATGCATTTGAAAAATAATAAATTTTTAAACCATGTAAATTGGTACTGACACTTCCAAGAATTCCCACTGTTACCAGACTTCCAGACTTCCATTAGAAATGGTGCAGGGATCTGTAGAACTAGCAGAGATTAAAAGAAGAGGAATGAGATACTTTGCTCGCTCACTGGACAGTATTCAGTGTTGGATTTTCCAACATCTGCAAAACCTTTATAGAATAATGGAAGAGAAGACCAAAGGGATATTTGAAAAAGATACGATACAGCATACTATGATAAAAGAAAGCCCTACTATCTGACAACTTCTGCCTAAGTAAAATAGGCCAGGGACAAGCAGCATCTCAGAAATTGTCCTCTAAGAAATGAAACTCAATTGATTTAATATCCTTTTGATGAGATAAACTAAAGAAGATCCTAATCAGAATATTACTACAAGATGGTTTATTCCTCCATGAGCACTGAGCAAACAGGAAGCTGTCACCTGATAAGACAGCAGGGAGCTGAAGCTGGCAGTCAATCACAGGAGACACACAATGGAATTTGTAAGCATGGTTTCAGTGTTCTGTAGGAAGAAGTTGTTTTGTCTAAAGAATAAAAACAGCAACAACGAATCAACCTTGTAACAGTGTATATACGTTCGGATACTAACTAAACATAAAATTTGTTGTGAATCAATTTCTTTTGTAGACCTCACCCTTGCTGGGAACTATGAAGAAAAATGCCTGTCCTCTTTGTGAAACTAGAGGGTGTCATGAGATTAAAGCAGTAGTTCCTAGAAAGCAAGTCTTTATCTTGACATTCTACCATATCTCCTTAAAATAGAAACATTCAAACAGAGTCATCTTAACAATGGCTCTGTTTCCACTTATTCTACTTGAAGTCATTTCCAAAGTTTTGTTTTTAAGCAAGTAACACTTATAGTGAGAAAGCTGAGAGCACTCTAGATCTTCCAATTGAGCCAATAGTTCACAGTGAAAGGACATCTTAATAAATAAATAGCAAAAGCAACTTACACAACAGTACCTGGTCTCTAGGTATCAATATGGGGCTTCCTGCTAAGGAAAGGAGAAGGGAAAACTACAGAGTGAAAATAGAACTCCTTACTTAAAAGGAGTTCAAAGCCTAAACCTTCAGCTTCAGCTGTCACAACACTGTGCTGTCATTTCATACACTGGGCTGGAAGGGACCTCAAGGACCAACAAGTTCCAACCTTCCCTGACAGATGCAGGGTTACCAGATGCTAAATCATATACTAGATCAGAAAGCCCAGAGCCCCCTGACCTGGCCTTAAACACCTCCAGGGACAGGGCATTCACAACCTCTCCAGGCAACCTGTTCCATCATCTCACCACTCTCTCAGTTAAAAAAAAAAAAAAAAAAAAAAAAAACAAAAAAAAAAAAAACCACCTTCCGCTTGATATCTCATATTTATCTCCCTTCCTTAAGTTTAAAACCATTCCCCTTGCACTACAACTATCTACACAAGTAAAAAAAAAAATTATTTCCCTCACGTTTGTGAACTCCCTTTAAATATTGGAAGGCCACAATGAGGTTTCCCTTGAGCCTTCTCTCTTTAAGGCTGAACAAGCTCAGCTCCTTCAGCCTCTCTTCACAGGAAGGTGCTCCAGTGCTTGGATCATCTTATTGGCCCTCCTCTAGACACTCTCCAAAAGCTGTACATCTTTCCTGTATTGGGCACCCCAGACCTAGATGCAGAACTCCAGCTGGAGCCTCACAAGAGCAGAACAGAGGAAGTCAATCATCTTCCTCTCTCTGCTGGCCACTTCTCTTCTGATGGAACTCAGAATACCATTGGCCTTTCAGGCTGCAAGCACACACTGCTGGCTTATGTTATGTTTTTCATCTATCAGCACTCCTAGGTCCTCCTCTGCAGGGCTACTCTCAAGGAGTTCTTTTCCCAGTCTGTATACATATAGTGGATTGCCTCAACTCAAGTACAAAACCTTGCACTTTGCTTTGTTGAAGCTCATTAGAGTCACAAGGGCCCCATTTTTTTTTTTTTCCCCCATTTGTTTTTGTTGAATTAACCAAAACACAATTATCTGCCCAGGACAGCTCCAATCAAATCAGCATTGTCAAGTGACCATATGCACTAAGACCATATCACTATGTTTATCGAAGCATATTTAATTCACTGCCATCATAATGTGTATAAAATATAAATTCTTGTGCCTCACTGGATAAAATTACTCCCTCATGAAAATGAAAACAGTCTCTCCATTGTGCTCTACCTACCATTAGGTCTTTTTTTTTCCCCTCTTTTTTAATGTTTATTATTATATAGCCCATTCTTTCCCTTTCCAAAGGATAATCACATTTTAATTTCTATCGCTTACTTCTATAGTTATACAGCTCCAATAAAACTCAATTATCAATTTGTGTATCTACTATACTGGAGATGTATAGAGGCCCTCTCCAAAACACTATCCCACATACGGCTAAGATCAAACATACCAATTCGGGTAGGTTCAACCTTATCTCACCCTGCGTCCTGTGACTGTAGGTGTCAGCTCAGAGACAGCATGCGTATATGACAGCATTTCTCCTAACTTCTGGCTCAGAAGACTTTGTGAACTTGCATGGAAATTCAAAATGTATAAGTAACACAGGAAAGAAAGGACGTGAGAAGATTTTTCCAAGTATGGTAAAAAGGAAAAAAAAAAAAAAAAAAGAAGAAGAAGAAGGAATTCAGAATAGCAGCAGACAAACATGCTCCAATAGCACAAATTCATTATTTAACACTTCGGAAAAAGCATGCTGGAAGTTACAGAATGATGACAACATGCCACACAGGCAGCATACACCATGTTGAGCTCTTTTTGTCAAATATACTTTTAGATAAATGGAAAGTCTATGTATATATCTCCATCTCTGGCCTAATACAGTCACCATGGACTAAGAACATTAGTGTTAAGCATCCCACTTGGCACAAAGCAGAACAGAAGGTACTTTCATCTGAACATCTCTACTTTTCCTGCCTGCAAATAATTATGTACTTGCCAAGAATACATGTTTACATTAAATCACACCAGACACATCCACTGTATATACCTAATGCATAGCAAACAAGCTAAGACTTCTAAGAACATAGAAGTTACTGCCCACAGTCAATCCGATGCACTACCTAACCTCCTAGGGCACATGTATGGCAATAGAATGCAAAGACAATGACTTCTAGCAGGCTTCAAAATCTACAGAGTAGTAGCAAATAAAAAAGAGGAGGAAAAAAGGAAAGAAAATTACTCACCCCTTTTAACGGCCAGAGACAGCTCAAGAAGAGCACAATCTATGCCCAAAAAGATACTACCCCCCTCAGCTGCTAAATATTTAATGAGGATGAGGAGGGGATGGATCCAGACTCCACTCCTTCCAATCACACAGGTGCATTGCTTGCACCTGAGCTCCTGGAGTTAGCTGCACCTTCTCATCTGGTGCTCAAACACTGCTTCCAGTTGTCACCTGGCAATTCCACTGCAGCATGCAATAGCAGTTCAGCATAGTACATCTGCAGATTCTGCTCCTGGGAAATTACAGACAGAAATACAGCTGCCCTGTCCTTGTTGGCTTTAGAAACCGCTCTTACAGCTTCTCTTCACATTTTTGTAACTTGAATACAATGCTTGTCACTTTGTGTTCCTATTACTAAGGCATGTATCACATGTCTGGCAAATCTCACACTGTGAATTACTTAAAACATAAATCAGATCAAGTGACTTTTGATAGATAGCTACTTTCACAGTCACACCTGCAAAACATCTTCTTAACAAGAAAGAAGCAGAATTTCTTGCAGATAGAGCAATTTGAGTTCATTCACACACTCTTAAGATGAAAATTGTGTGACTGTAACTTTGCTGCTTGTTTCTAGAAGATCTATCAAAGTATTAAACATATATCCAAAGACACCTAAGGAAACACAATAATATCAGTTGAAAAAAAAAATTTTTTTTGAAATTAATGTGGACAAAATAGTTTGATAATAACAGTATTTGATATTATTTGGAAATTCAGAGATGTCGAGGAAACCTAGCTGAAAATTGGACTGCTCCTCATATAAACTTGTTCTCTTCATCAAGGAAAAAAAAAAAAAAAAAAAAAAATTGAGCTGCCAGAATACAGTAAGAGCATTGTCCAGATAAAACAATGCAAAACAAATAAAGCCACCATCGTTAGAACCACCTAAGCCATACAGATAAAAAGCTCAAGGATAGACAGACTGAAACTAGCAAAACCACATCTTGTTAAAGCATATGCCACCTGTCTACAATACTTTTAACACATGCTAGAACATACTGGATGTATTATCACATTTATTGCCTTGACAACAAAGCTAGAATTAATAGTACAGGAAAGACCTTGTTCCAAAGAGTTTGAATTCAAGGGGAAGCAGAGGAAGAATTGGGTGTGTTTTCAGATACAACCTGAAAAGGTACTTTTTTATTGAAACACAGCACGTGAAATTCAACGCTTTTTAAAAATTTAACAGCTAGGGAAAATATGTGATATTTCACAAGTCCTTCCCAAATGATGCTCTATGCCTGCTGGCAAAGAATAAAACCTCTAAATCCTTTGAGTTTTTCTTATCTTTTCGTTTGCAGTGGAAGATAAAAAGAAAAAAAGTTTAAAGTCTATAGAAATAGAATGTGTTGCAGTTACCAGGTCCTAATTCTTATCCTACAAGTTTCTAAAAAAACCACACTTTACCAGGTCTGATCTTGGTTATTGTATTTAGGAAAGATCTACTGAAAACACTTTGAATCAAGCTGTGCTTGGTCTCAGCTTCTAAATTCTCATTAAAAAGCATCTTTTCTTTTTTTTTTCTTTTCTTTTGATTTTTATTCCAAGATATCTCAGCTTTCTACAATCAGAAAAGCTCTGAACTATACATATTTATCAGAATTTCTTGCACATAACAAATTGCAGTGTTAACAATAGCTTTTTCCTTTTCTGTTTTTTTTTTTGGGGGGGTGCAACATAACTTGCAGAAAGGTAACAGATGACGAATAAATAAACAAATGAAAATACCATGGTTAATGTCTGTTTAACAATGCCCATAAAACAGCTAATGACTTGCCACAGTAACAACCAGACTAATAATGATGCATTAAATAAGACATACAATGCATCGATCGGAATGCAGTAACTTCTTTGCTAGAAAGAAGCAATCTTACTTTTGGCTTTTGATGGTATCCTTTGAATTTTGGGAACTGGACCCCTGGTTTTCATATTTCTAATGCACAGCCTCAGAACACTTCTTTTCTTATGGTATTAAAGTGATTGTGATAAAAACAATGAGGTGTTACTAATAGAAATACTCCAGTGAGAATTTTTTTGTTCCACACTTACTGAACAGGATTTCCACAGCTCTCAGTCTTTAAATAAAAAAAATTAAGGCTTAAGGTCAATAGTAATTTCTTCTTCATAAGTAAAGTGAGGAGTAAAAAGTTAATTATCTTTATGTCTCCATTAACTTGTTAAATAGACCCTCTGTTTAGATTGACACAAAATAAAAACAGCAGCAAACTTACTGCACACTGTGAATTAGGAAAGGGAATGAGATTTGCATATACTCACAATGTGTTTTTGGAAAAAGTATGCTGCTACAACTAGAATGTGTAATAGAACTATGCTTGGTGGACATATCCTGAGCTCATCAGATTTGTATAATCTCATCTGGGGAAAAAAACTGTGACCAAGTGTTATTGCCACACACTTATGCTCTGCACAACTCAGCTAAGGCTTTTGGTTAAAACAAGCAATGCTCATCTCCACACATGGGTATGGATGTATGCCTCTGACTTCGTATTTGAAGCTAAGCATAATCTTCCATCCACTGTGTCCTTGCTTGATCACACATGAAACTTCTGTATGTAAACCAGAAGTTGATTAATAACAATTATTGCAAGAAAATGGTGCTCATATGTAAACATCCAAGTAGTTAAATATTTACAGGGTAGGAGCATAGTGTATACTCTACACCTAACCTAGGAACATTGCTTCTAGAAGTCCATGAATCTGTTTGTAATTTTATTAGAAATGTAGCAGTTCTCAAATAACAGGCCAAAGAGAATCAATATATGCCCTTAATACTTTCTTTTATTATCTTTGTGCAATATATTGCAAAATCATATATTTCAACTGGCAGATTCTTATAGCTGGAGGTATCTGTACTATAGCAGTAGCACCCTGGAAGATTGTAAGACAGAAGAAGGAAAACAATTTCTTTTTATTATTTCATTAAAGGAAAAACTGATGAATGAAAGATATGCTGCCTATATTTCAAGTTTATTCCAAGTCTGACCAGTTAATTAATATTTTTATTTGTGAAAATAAGAAGAGAAAGGAGAAAACCACCCTAAAAAATATCATAAAACTCACAATAAATTCAATGAAAGATTCACCTGTGAATTTTACTTGTACTTGCATTGTAGTTTTGGTTTTAATCATAGCACTGAAAAGGTGAACAAATCATACTGCTACTGACAGCCAACACAGCCACATATTAGATTAAACTGCAGAACTATATTTAACCTGGCAACATAGGGTCCCATTTATGTAATCCCGCTTTAGAAGCTTCTAATGAGTTACTGCAGCCTAACCCAGATACTCCTGCTACCAAGTTCACTGCTTTTTTTTTTTTTTTTTAATGTCTACACAGTAATGGAAGTGCTATTTCATTGTAAAAATTGCTGCACAGCACAAAGAACACTTTTGTTAAACATGTTGGCCACCAATACAATCAGTAACCTAAAAAATCAACTTCTGCCTAATTTAACCCATACTTATAACGCAGAAAGTTTATTTTTACTTGTCTTGAATTGAAAGAGGTTTTAGGTCTTTAATTATATGGTGAGTTATTATCACAGCAGCTTCTTTTTGCTTTAAAAACCCTCCAACAATAACATTCTTCCACATTAGGAATGTCTCAGTGCCTGTGAGCACCCACTGAAGGCTATGAATCCCATCTGGGAGCCCTGGGCTCGGCCCCCTGCCAGACACACACATATGGCACTGGGGGATCAGCAGGGCTGGGCCAAGTATCAGGCACCCTGCAACATCTGCCAGCTGATCAAAGTGGCATTGATGGCATGCTAAAAAGGGAGTTAGTTCACTCCTTCATGCTGGAAGGCAGCTGTAGTGACAAAAGGTGTACTTAAAAAGCAGCACAGTAAGACAATAGATGGTAAACTTGTGCAGGGAAAAGGGTGGAGAATGTACTTTCTGACCCAAGTCACAGAATGCCTTGGGTTGAAAGGGATTTTGAAGATCATCAAGCTCCAACCTCATGCTGCAGGCTGGTTGCTACCCACCAGATGAGGCTGCCCATGGTCCCATCCAACCTAGCCTTGAATGTCTTCAGGTCATCTACAGGAACCATCTTACATTACTGTTTGAAACCAAACACAGCATCAAATGTAGAGCAATGATATAAGAAACAGGAATAAGAATGATAAAAACCTACGAACAGAAGAAAAAGCTAAGAATTCGTTGATATGATTTCTCACTCAATCACACTCATTGGCAGCAGTTGTGGCTAGATTTGGCTGTATTTAAAGGATTGGTGGTTTGAAGAGCACTCCAATGAAAGATCATAATGCAAATACGAAACATGCACAAAAGTTGTTTGTATTTTCAGTACTTCCAATTGTTTTCTTTACACTGCCTACTAATGATATTGTAAATGTAGAAAAAATGCAGTTCAAAGAGCTAAACTTCAATTTCACCATATTTTCTCCCAGTGACTAGGCTGTCATTCTCTGTTCTTTTATTGGGCCTATACTGGGCCAATAGATTTCAAATTCAGAGAGCAATGGCTATAGTGGGATGGAGACCTGGCATTCTGAAAGCTGAACAAGGCCAACAGACCATAAACATAGCATCTTGGCTTCAAATGGTAATTATCTGCTGCAGAGCTAAGGCTGTAGTCCAGTAGAAAGTTCTTCCACTAATTTAACTCCTCACAAATAAAATAATGGGGTGCACAAAGGGGAAAAAAAACAAAAAACAAAACAAAAAAAAACCAAAAAACAAAAAAAAACCCACACCAATTTAATTTTACTCATGTATTTAATAAAAAAAACATACATGGTAAAAAGAAGAAAAAAATAGGAGTGGCCTCTTTTTAGCAAAAGAAAATAAGAAAGAAAAAAAGAAAAATCTAATGTAAAGAGAATAGAACAGCAAGTTTGATAACTGGCAGTCTGAGCCCTAAGCTTGTTTAACTAACACATATGAAC